ACATGATCACGTGAAATATTAAATAGTATAGCTGGAATGGCCCTCAGCAACAGTCTGTTGCCCTCCCTTGGGCCTGACAAAAAAAATGCAAATTTTAAATGACAGTATGAAATAATAGTGCAATATAGTATGCGAGGATTGCTAATAGTAAGAACTAATGTTTTCAGAGCACTTTTTTGTAGTAAGATCTGCTAATTCATTTGTGTCTCGATGCCACCCTACAGGATAGACACAATCAATGTAGTGCATCTTTCACATGAGAAAATAAAGGTTGTCTCCTGGATATCCCCCATCTGGTGAGACCCACATAGGGCTGTGTGACCCAGAATCACCACACTAAGTGCTAAGCAGTGCTGTGAAGCCAACATAGGGTTGGCTGGGGAATGTACACAGGATCTCACCCCCAAAAAATATTAAACGATGGGATTTGAAAGAAATGATTTTTAAAAAGTCACTACAACTGGGCGTTGGTGGTGCACACATTTAATCCCAGCACTCGGGAGGCAGAGGCAGGTGGATCTCTGTGAGTTCGAGGCCAGCCTGGTCTCCAGAGCGAGTGCCAGGATAGGCGCCAAAGCTACACAGAGAAACCCTGTCTCGGGAAAAAAAAAGTGACTACAGCTTGGTGTTTTATGAACATTATTGATGAGGGCACGGCCTCTAATGGCTCCATGCTCCCCCAACAGTGGAGTTTCGTGAAGAAGCAGAACACCAGCCTGCACCAGCCTGTGCCACATTGTGTTCTTTAGCTGGCCCATTGTTCCAAGGACAGCAGTCGTGTATGCAGACAACATGCTCCCACTGCCACTGTTGCCATATTGGTGGGGTACACTTTACAGCTTGTGAACTGGGAGGCACACTTGCAAACACCACTCTCTGTACAGCCTCAAGAGAAGGCTGTCTGCAACTTCCAGGGGTGGGGACACTGTGCATGCCATTGCAGTTCTTGTGTAATAACTGTGTGTCATAAATAGAATGTGGCATTTCAGAATGTCTTTAAAGCTATTTTCTTTTGTTAGACTAATTTAATTTACCAAATGCTCCTGGGGAAAAGGAAGGGGACCAAGATGCTGACTCCACATTTCCTGGGGAGAAAAAAAGTCACCATTTCCCAAAAAAAAAAAAAAAAAAAAAAAAAAAAAAAAAAAAAAAAACCTGCTTTCAGAGAAATTACATCTGATTGTCATAGCTGGCTCCCTCAAACTCTACCTCTGTCAAAATCCTGCCCTAGCAGGTGTGGGAAGAATAGATGCCGAACTTGAATGAATACCCACATCTGTTTTTGGAAAAGGGGAACAGAAGCAGCACAGAAGGAAGTAAGAGAGATAATTGCTGGCTTGAACTACAATGCATTTTACTTGTGGGCAGAGGGCCAGCGTACAGCAGGCGAAATATGCAGGCCCATCTTATTGGAATTCAGGGGTGGGCCTCCGTTCCTGTCCGGAGACAGCTGTAAACCAGCAGCCCATGGCATCACAACCAGGCACGGAGTTTTGACAAGGAATGCTGATATGGACAGAAGCAGCTTTGTCGGCTTCGCCTGCACCCCTGCCTGCTGCAATGACAGTCAATCTCTGATTCCAGATGACAAGAACTGGATAAAAACTTCAAACAAATGGCGACCTTTCCAAAGATTAATTTGTTTACCAACAAAATGTCCCCTCTTTGTCATCTGAAATGGGGGTGACCTTCACTTTGCCACATCTTGGCTGGAAGGATGCTGACTGTAGTCATCTGTTAAGTTAACTCCATCTCAGCAATTATTCCCTTTTTTATTTTTAGTGACAAGAAGGGTTTATTAATTCACTCTGCTTCTTGTTATGGTTTATAAATGCAACAAGCTCGTTCTGAATTACTGCAGTGTAACATCAATTTGTTTAAATCTAATTCTGCTACCGTTGCCAAATTATGTTGTGACTGTAATTGTGGCCATATGCATGGGCTTAAAACACAATCATGTTTTGAAATCACCCCACCCCTGATTGTGGTACTTCTTCTAATCATTTGACATTAACACAATTGCCTCACTTTCCATTACTTTATCATCTCAGAAATGATTGTGCTTTCAGTGGGAGAGATTGCTCTGCACACCCCGAGTGAAACAGTAAAGAATGAAGCTATGATTTGTGAAGTGTGGTTGCTACCCAACCAAGTTAGTGAAAAGCACTGTATAACGTACAAGTCATAAAGCTGGGAAGTCATCACAGCATTAAATCCAACCTCATGAATAAATAAAAGGTTCTAAGTTTACATAGCATTATATATTTATTTATTTGGAAAGTGGGACCAAAGAACTGGTATAATTCTCCAGCAACTCATAGCTTGCCAACAAGAAAAATGTTTTTATGATTCTTTTCTAGGTCATAACAGTTGTAATCAGAGTTATTTGTGCAGCAATTCACAGAGATGTTTTGTTTGGCTATTTTGTTATGCATTCATAATCGTTCTTTTAAAATTCATGTTAACAGTTACATGTTTCAAGCCTTTTAAGAAACCCTTTTTATTTGAAAAATATAAATCATAGTCAAATTTTCAAGATCTTACAGTGCATCGCACTGTAAGGCCTGATGGGAACAAGATGCCGTGAGCGGGCAAGAGCAGTGCCAGGGCTCGCCTCTCCCGCATTTCCACCTTCCTCCCTCCTCCCAGGGAGAACCCAACAAACACATGGGATAGGGTTGTTCCGCTTTTATTTAGTGCATTTAAGATCCTAAAATCATTAGTGGTTTTGTGTTTAGTGCTTTGTTTATAAATTGATTTTATGTAAAAAGAGTCACAGAAAATATTTTAAAGGCAAGTTCTGTGATATGATTGTATGGTGTCACCTGTGTACATGTGTGTGTGCATGCATATGTGTGTGTTTAATGCACCCAGATCTTCCATTGGGTCCTTAGGGTGAGGAAAGAAACACTTCCTCATCGGATGGGAAATAAACCAGCTTCCAGGACCTAACAACACAAACTAATTATGTGTTCATATTTGCTTGTCAAAAATGCCTGAATTATTTGCAGGCTTTTGACAAGCTGTGCAAGTTGCACAGACATAAGGCACCGCATGACCCTCGGCAGCCAGGCAGCCTCCCCACCCTCAGTGTGAAGAGGTGCTCCGAAAAAACTGCCTTGCTGCTGCTCCTCTAGTTAAATGATGGCCACAGTTTGGCTAGGTGCTTTTAAAAACATTTAAAAAAAATAAGAGGTGAATTCCAGCTGTATTTTACCTCTAGATGTACTACATTGCTGTTTAAAACCAGATAACTGAGTATTTCCCTCAAAGAGCTTTCTGAGCAATGCCTCCATTTCATAAATCTAAACAAAACTGTCTCTCTATAGCACCTGATATCTAGACCAACATAAAATGATAGGGTCAACTATTTGGACAGAAATGCCAATAGTTTGATCAAAATCTATATAATAAATGTCCCATTTTAAAATGGCTTGATACTGATTTTCATGGGGTCAGTTTCATGAAAAGGATCTTTAATATCATAAATGAATATATGTTATTAACATGTTACACAGGGCAGTGTGTAACATGCTTTCTCAAACAGTCATTGCTCCAATGTCACAGGAACAATACCCACTCATTCTATTAAATTATTAAAAATATAACAAACAGCTAAGAGTACATCCTAAAGTTAGGATGTAACTCTTATTCCTTAAATACCTTATTTAAGTCTGAATCTTGGAGTCACAAAACAAAGCACAATCCCCCATGTCTCTCAGTAGACTTCTAGAAACTTCTGTCCTCATCAGAAAGTTTGTGTGCCATGCAGCAGTTGCCCCAGGCTGCAAAGCCGCAGCACTCCACCAGCTAAGCCAATATTAATTCTAGGCCGAGGAGGAAAACCAACAACAACAAAAGAGAAATCTGCTGCTGTCTGTACAGCCAGAGAAGTAATATTTTTACTTCAAGGGCTTTGGGGCTCCTGGGAAGCAGACAAAAACCTCTTCACATTATTCACACTGACGTTTTAAATAAAGTTCCAACAGGAATAAAAATATCTAACTTTGTGCTTATTTCTTAGACTAGAAAGTATTTCTAGGATAAAGTGCTCTTAATCCAAACCTGTAAGGATAATATAAAGCAAATTCAGAGGCCGGGAGTGACTGAGTGCTGAGGATGACCTAGGTAGTTGAAAAACAGAGGAAACTTGGATGAGTTAGTCTGGGATAAATAAGCAAGTTAGAAACAGTTTGACAAATTTAATCCTAAAATTAATCTTGTCCTTCCTTCTAATTTCACTAAAATACACATTTAAGAGCACTGAAAGGAGCCAACAGTTATAAATGTATTTTCAAACTACATAGATTTCACCTTAGGAATAGCTTTTAGTATTAGAGATTATGTCAAATAGTTTACTAGTTAGAACAGAGCACCATTCCCAGGAAACCCACAGCACAGGAAGAGGCCAGTCCTCCCCCCCCCCCCCCCCCCAGCACCTCAGCCCCAAGCTAGCAGCAATGGGGATGCAGGCTGTCAGACTGCATGTGAGGGCTTTGCCTCCAGCACTTTGCTGCAGTAGGAGATGCTGCCGCACTGGCTTTGGGTTGGGAATTCTTGCTTATGCGTTGCTATGTTACACGAGGGTGTGCCACTGGGAAGGAGGATGCTGTGGGGTGGTTTCCCTTTTTTTTTTTTTTTTTTTTTTTTTCTAGTGGTAAGCCTACTATGCAAACTATCCTAAATTCCTCTACTAATTTTTTTTTTTGCTGTCAACTTTTCCCCCTCCCTGTTAAATTATGCCACTAGTTCATTCAAAGAGTTATCAATCACAACGAAAAATCAGAATGAGCTACAAAGAGATCTTTTAAAATAAGTCTACATCTTTCATAATCATTACTAATTACAGACAGAATGAAAGCCACTTCGCTTTTTAAAAAAATCCCAAGGACAAAAGAATCAGTCCTAACTTATAAACCTGCATTCTATCTTACACCATTAGTAAGTGGCTTGGAACCCTTTTTAGGATTAGGAGTTGGCAGGAGCAGCTCATTACTTACATGTGCTTTTCTCTGATTAATATATGGCAAACTGACACCGTAGTTCTCTTTCATAGCAGCTCTGTGGTGCGTGTTCTCCGGATCCTGCATGATCTTTACATTCAACTCTGTCATTGGCTGGAACAAAGAAACAATGAAACTTTTAATGTAAAATGAACAAAAATGCTTACTAACATTTTATATCCCTGGAGGAAAATAAAACTTTTGAAAAATAAGGAGTTCAATGCAATTCTCACTGGGGGAAAAAATGGATCTTTTATGTAGGCTGCAAATCAATCCCTTTTATTCAGAGAAAAGGAAGATTTTCCTCTGTGTGTTCTGTTTGTGCACTAATATATCCTCAGACACCATTAACTTACTCAAAAAATAATGCTCCATGTCAACCAGGATGGACAAAGGACAAGCAAGAATCTCTCATCTCAATTTATTTCTGGCTTTCCAGGTCAAAGACTTAGTGAATAAAATCTATACTCCAGACAGGCAGGTAGAGGGCTCTCTTGGTCTGTTAATGTGGCCATATTCCTCTAGGGACATTACAAGGTAGCTGTTGGTTTGGACATGATAAATTTTTACCACACCAAATGTTTATGTCTCTGCAGAGATTTTGCCACCAGTAATTAGCACTTTCATCAGGAAAAGAAACCAAAAAGCATCTTGTTCCAATGACCTGTTCTTCATTTTAAAGGATTCCTATCAGAATGATGATGGTGGAGGGCATTGAAAGGATGTCACAAGACCTAGATGACCACCCTAGCCTGGACTGCTGGGTGGGACTCAGAAAAGTCACCTCACTTCTCTGCAAGTCAACCTAGTTGCTTGTCAAGGGCAGTAGCTGGGTGTGATGCTCTCATGAGGCACTGCCCTGAGCACCTATAGTCTACGACTTCAGGTTAAAATGACAGTTGGCACTTTGGATCACTTGTGAGATGTTGTATGCCTTTTGTCCCACAATACATTTTACAGACCTGTGGTTTTGTTCACAAAGCTAAGCCAGCTCGGTGCTATCTAGTTCCAGAACATTTTTATTTCCCCCAAATGAGACCTTACATCTATTAGCAATCACTCCCTAGTCCTACTTCCCCCTATCCCAGCAGCCACTAGGACACTTTCTGTCTCTACTCATAACTAACTCTATTCTTGGCATTTTGTACAAATAAAAGCACAGTATCTGGACTTTGTTTACTTTTAAAGGAACTTGGAGGAACTGAGAACAACTAGAAAATTTGATTTGGGTTCAATCAAATATTTTAGTTCAGAGGATGATTGGGAGCAAGTGGCTGCAGTGACACAACAGAAAGCTCCAGAGTCCACGTATTTCTTCCAACTTAAGCATTCATAAAAACACTGAAGTCAGTGTGGAGAGGAAGGCTACAAAAAGGACAAAGGGACCGATCTAGTAAGGATGAGGCTATTCCTAACATGCACTCCACGAGTCCCTCTGTTTTTAATTGCTCTCGAATAACCAAATCTCCAAATAACTGTCCTCAACTGCCCTCTGTATTTAACCCATCTGGAAACACATGTCATAAACCAGGCATGTCTTGTGACTTTCTCCTTTAAGTACATGTGGTAACAGAAGTAACGTGGAGCCCAGTCACAGATGGCTTTCCTTCTGTGGCTAGCCCACACTCACAGCACTCCTCCGGCATTTTTGCAGAGAGCTGAGTGCCTTTTGTAAAAGTGAAATTAATACCTGAACATAATTTTTTTCCTCCTTAATTAAACTTTCAGGATAATTTCCATCCTACCAAGGATCAGGAAATTGCTAATATGTATTATATCGACTAGTTGTGGTTTCTGTAATTAGGATGCTTTAAGAATGTGGATGGTGGATACAATTGATGGTAATGGCTTCATCTATCATGTCTCAGCTTCGTTAGAACTTTTAATTCTGGGATCCCTGGCTCAGTGGACCAGACAGGCTTTCTTAGTTTTATTATGCTCCATCAACTTTGAGTGGTCCAGGGCTGGCTTGGGGAAGAGGTGCCCAGGGTTGCTGTGAGCTCCAGCAGTAAGACCCAGTTCTTTTCTGCCCTATTTTACATGTCTGGGGCACAATATATCTGGAACTAAATCACCAGGCAAACAGAAATGGGAGGTTGGAATATGACTCTTATTGTGGGCTCCTAGAACGATGACCCTAAAATTATTAATAGTCTCATCTTCACCACATTGGCGCTAAAGCATAAGTTTATCAAAATGTAATACACAGCCTGCATGATTTGAAAAATATTGGATTCTGGGCATGGTAACACATGCCTATAATCCTAACATTTGGGAGGTGGAGGCAGGAAGATTAAAAATTCAAGGCCAGCCTTGGATACATGAAAACTTGTCTCAAGAATAATAAAATAAAATAAATTAAAAATTTAAAAATAAAATAAAAATAAAAAATCTCTGTTTTAGGCATACAGACTACATACAAATCAAAGAGTTGTTGATCATAAATTTGTTTTAATCTTATCACTTATTAAAATAATGATGTAATTTTATACTACTGAGATAGATGTGCTTATTTAATTTTAAATAAAGAATCGAATCTTGGCTTAATAATATCTGTAAAAAAAAAAGAAGAAGAAGAATAAAATAATATAAAAACAAATACTGCCAGTGAGATGGCTCAGTGAGTATGGCAGTACACTTGCTGCCAAGCCTTACAACTTGAATTCCATTTCCAGGTCCCACATGTGGGAAGCCAGTTTCTGGGTGTTATCCTCCGACCTCTACACAAGCACACATGCATAAGTGAATGAGTGAGTGAAATTGAAAACTAAGTAAAAATATATATCAGGCTGGGGGTGTGGCTCAGTGGTAGACTACTTGCCTAGCACATGAGAGGCTCTGGGTTTGATGCCCAGCAATAAATAAAATGTTGAAGATGGCTTCACTGAAAGTCATGATCAAATAGATTCAGTGCTTAAATCTGTTGTACAGTCCATAGTGTGTTCTACTTATCAGCTTAGGTTGTATTATCAGATCCAATAATAAGCACTTATTTTTCTAAGAAAAACAATTATAGATTTAAAAACCAAAAGGAAACGAATCATTCCATGAAGCAAAAAAACCACTCTCTGGAAGATGCTCTCGTACCATCAGTAACAGAAATATCAGAAATAACTTCAGAAATTTTCTTCAATTGGTCAAGAAAAGGCAGCAATTTCTTTAATCTATTTTGAGTCACTAAACGATCTAAAATTTGCATTCTCTCCTTTTGATAGTAATTACAAGCAGATATATCAAATGTGACTCTCATTTAGACTTTGGTTTGTAAGAACAAAACTTATTATCAGAGCCAATTACTGTTTTACCTACATGGCTGCACAGAAGCAGGGAGCTCAATTCTCATCTCATCAGTGATTTTGTGGTATTTATTTTATTACTATGCCCACAACGCTATATAAGAAGGAAATAGCTTATGCTATTAAAACTTGGGCTGGAATACAAGAGGCTAAGGTTGCTTCTAGAAGAACTTGTGAATTAAAAACACTAGGCAGCATGTAATGCCAGCTCCCCAGACATGGGAAGACCATAAAACAACACACATCTATCCAAGCAGGAGCTCCCACACAGAGTCATCAAAATTGAAATGCTTCACAAACAAAGTTGAGAGAAGCTATTTGCCAAGTTACAGTATTATCAGCAGAACATTGTTCTCAACAGTGTCTGCCCCGAGTAATGTCTTCTAAAGTGGATATTGCTTAATGCTGTATTCCCACTGATAAGGGACATCCTCCATTTAAATCTTAAAGCCAGAGAAAGGACAAATAGGAAAATAATTCAGTCACCTTTCACTTATTCTCACAACCATGATTTTATATATTGAAAAGAGCAGTAGACAGTGAGTCCCCAGTTTGAGCCACATGAGTTAAATTTCTCATCTGTAACATGGGGAATAATATCAGACTTCACAGGGTCATTTGTAAGATTCAAATGACTGATATGAGTTGCGTATCTCATAAATTATAAAGTGCTATTGGGGATACTTGGAAAGAGAGCTTACTGGCAGGTGGGGGAGGGAGATTGCCGTGAACTGAAATACTTCAAATATACTAAAACATACGAGTTCTTAATGGTCATTCTCCAAAATACCCAATGATAACACCAACAAATTAACTTGGAATTTGGAAAATAAAAGGAGTTAAGCATTTAACCTAGTTTTCCTTAGAAGTTCTATTTCATATTCATCAAAAAGTCTTAAAAATGATCTTTGTTGACACTGTTAAAGGCTGAAAGACTGGCAGAATTCTAAAATCACTACAATCCCTAATGCTATCGTGCATTCAGGTAGCATTGATGGTTGCTGAGATGTATCGTGGTAGACAGCTGTGGTTTTATAAAGGGCAGATCAAGCTGATTACAGCTGGGTTTACTGATCAACCATAGTGTCATTAAGAGAGTAAAGATACCACAAAACCAGGCATGGAAACTCAGGCCTGTAATCTCAGGGTCATCCTTGGCTGCACCATGAGTTCAAAGCCAGCCGGGGCTATGGGAGACTGTTGGGAGAGGAACAGGAGCAGACTTTGCCCATAGAAAATGGGGACGAGGGGAAGGAGGTGAAGAGAGGCAGAAATCATGATAGCTGTTAAAGCCAGGTGATAGTTAGGTTCATTTCAGTGTATATTTGTGTCTATTCAAAAACACAACTTCTAAATATGTCATTAAAGTTACAGTATAGTTAACTTACTTATAGTTATTTTATTAGCTTTTTATTTTAACATCCTATCCTCAATGGCATCCCTCTTTCCCTCACCGTCATGCAGGGAAGGCTCAACAAGCAGAAACCCCCCACAGGCTCAGCAGCACCAGCTCCATGCTGCTTACAAATAACCAGACTCTAGCCTGATGCCCCAAGTTTACAAAGCTATAAGGATAACCACTGCTTTCCCAATGTACCTGTCCTTTTATCTGAGAACTGATGAAAGCAAACACTTAGGCAGCTGACTTTGTGCCAGGAACAAGTAGGTAGGTACTGTCACATCTGACTCTAACTCAGCTTAAAATGGAGAGAGGAAGCGCATGATAGCTGCCTACCCTCCAGTGAAGGTACCTGGGCAAGCAACTGCCAAGCCTCATGACCTGCCAGTGGGGAGATGGAATGGATTTGCCTCTGACAT